AAACAATAAAACAGAACACTCACGAGAGCAATACTGGTGAAAATGTAACCCATGATCGTAGTGCAATTCAAGGACTTACGCTAGAGCAAATTCTTTTAAAACAAAATGAAAATTTTGATACAATCCTACAACAAATGAGTACCCTAATGAATCTCATAGTTAAACTTGTTGACAAACTATCAAAATGATTGCACTACGGCTAGCCACCTGGAACATAAATGGTCTCGCTCCGAATAAACAAGAATTAGAACTACTAATGTCGGAACATAAGCTAGACATTCTGCTTATCTCTGAAGCCCACTGCACTAGTAGAACCTCAGTGAGATTTTCTGATCATTTTTGCTATGTTACCGAACACCCGGATGGTACTGCTCATGCTGGCACAGCACTCCTGATAAAGAAGTCAATAAAACATCACCGTATGCCTGACTATAAAACTGAACACATACAGGCTACTACTGTAGCCATTGAAGACAAAAATGGTAACCTTGTTGTCACTGCTGTTTACTGTCCTCCCAAACATAAAATAAGCGAAACCTTGTTTTCTGAGTTTTTCCAGTCGCTGGGCAATCGATATATCGCAGATGGGGACTGGAATGCTAAACACACTGACTGGGGCGCCAGACTAACTACTACCCGCGGGAGGCAATTAAAACTTAGTATTGTCCATAATAACCTTAGTGCTGTTTCCACTTCGGAACCAACATACTGGCCTACCGATAGTAATAAATTACCTGATCTTTTGGATTTCTTCGTGGTCAAGGGGCTCTCAAGACTTTACTTAAAACCGGAATCTTGCTCGGACAGCTCCTCAGACCATACACCAGTAATCTTAACAGTTAGCACAAAAGTCATTGAATCTATGAAGCCAGAAACACTGCACAATAAATATACTGATTGGACTTCGTTTAAAGAATACATTGAAGAACACATACAAATGAAAATGGCTCTCAAAACCTCTGACGACCTAGATAATGCTACTAAACACATAACCTCTTTAATACAGCAAGCATGTTGGGTTAATACTCCCTCAATTAGCAGCAGCGAAAAAGTCACAAACTATCCGCTACAGATAAAACTAGCAATACTTGAAAAGCGTAGACTGCGTAGAGTATGGCAGCAAAGTCGAATCGGAGAGGACAAGGCTAAGGCTAACTCAACAAAGCATGTAGTGAGCTAAAAGACATGTTACAAGCTTGGCATGAGGACACCTTAAAAATAGAACTAGAGTCACTAACGGGAACAAGCGATTCAGATTATTCGTTGTGGAAATTCACGAGGAACTATGACAGACCTCAAACCGCGAAACCTGCCATAAAAAGACGTGACGGATGGGCTAGGACCGCAAAAGAAAAGACAGACACGTTTGCTGAGCATCTAGCTAATATCTTCTGTCCAAACGATATGATTATACAGGAACACGAAGATCAGGTCAATATCATCCTAAAACAAGATTATCAAATGGCTTTGCCACCAAAACCTGTTAAAGTCAAAGAGGTATGGAGGGTGACGTTGGAATTGAAAGAAAAAAAAGCACCTGGATTTGATCTGATCACTAAAGCAGTTATTAGACAACTTCCTAAGAAAGCTATAGTCTTCTTAACAACTCTGTGTAACGGAATACTTAGGGTGCAGTACTTTCCGAGGCTGTGGAAGGTATCCCAAATAATATTGGTGCATAAGGATGGCAAACCACCAAGTGAAGTCGGCTCATACCGACCCATCAGCTTATTGCCGATCCTATCAAAGATCTTCGAAAAACTGTTGCTTCGCAGAATACTTCCAATACTCAAAGAAAATAATGTTATACCGAGTCATCAATTTGGGTTTAGACAGGAACACTCCACTATAGAATAAGTGCATAGAGTTCACGGGAGAATTATATATTTTTTTTTTTTTATATTTATTTATTTATTACGACCACCAGGGAAAGTTACATTAAATCTTGTTTTTAAACATTATAGTGATACATACAAAATGCAAAATTCTATTGAAGGTAGCCACATCATGCTTAAGAGACAGTACGAACGGATGAATTTTAATTAAATAAACAAACAGAAACACAAACTGAAACCACATGTAAATAATCAAGTGTATGAACTATCAGTGGTTTTGAAACTATAGATAATAGAAAACGAATACCTATAATTAATCGATATAACAAATTTAACGACAAAAATAAAAATAAAGTTTGCCTACGCATCTCTTAATAACTCTGAAACTTTAGTCCTGAATCGTAGAAAAGAGTCATGGAAGATATCAACACTCTCACTTAGTTTGTTGTAAGCTTCGGGCAAGCGATATGATGCAGAGTGTGTTAATACATTTGTGCGAGCGATTGGTTTGCTGAATGTTGGTACAGGATAGCGTGGTGGTTTACGGGGAACTCTAATATTTATCTTACTGAGAAATTGTGGGCAATCAACTACATTTCTGACAACTTTAAATAAAAATGTGATGTCCAAAATATTTCTCCTAGTGAGAAGACTGTCCATATTAAAATACTGAAGTCTTTGGCTGTAGTTGGTAGATTTTGTATTCAGCCTACTACTGAATGTCAGATGTCTAGTAAATCGTTTCTGAATGCGTTCAATACGAAGCTGATGTATACTGTACTGAGGAGACCAAATAACTGAACAGTACTCTAGGGTGCTTCTAACAAAGCTGTTATAAATCAAGACCTTTGTTGAGGGATTTCTGAATACTTTGACATTTCTCATAATGAATCCTAGAGTTTTTGAGGCTCGAGTAATAATGTTATCTATATGTGGAGTAAATGTTAATTTAGAATCTATTATTACACCCAGATCTCGAATAGTATTTACCTCCTCTAACACAGCATCACTTACTTTATATTGTGACTCAAAATTGTGAGACTTGCGGGATAACTTTATATGATAACATTTATTAATATTGAGAGACATTTCATTTATCTTGCACCATTCCACTAAGCTATCAATGTCCGATTGTAGGAGTTTAGCGTCCTCATCACAGTGAATAACTTTTATTAGTTTAAGATCATCTGCATATAAAAAAACATCACTGTGCTTAATTACATCTACAACATCATTAATGAAAACATTGAAAAACAATGGTCCTATATGAGAACCCTGAGGTATACCTGATGTGGATAAATATTGATCTGAACGGAAACCCTTTACAACCACGTATTGAGAACGATTAGTTAAATATGTATGCAACCACATCAATAAAGAACCGGTGAATCCATATTTCGAGAGCTTGTTTACTAATATTTTGTGACAAACTTTGTCAAATGCCTTGGAAAAGTCAGCATAGACGGCATCGCTTTGCAACTGGGAGTCCATATTGTTAACAATGAGTTTAATGAAAGCGATGAGATTTGTGCTGGTAGACCTAGATCTCAAGAATCCATGCTGGCGATCAGTAATAAGATGTTTTATTTGGGCGTAAAGATGTGGATATATTAGCGCTTCAAATATTTTTGGTATAACTGATAAGATTGAGATTGGTCTATAATTAGCAATATTGTTTTTGTCACCGCTTTTGTAAATTGGTACAACCTTAGCAATTTTCCAAGATATAGGAAACCGACCAGAACTAAGAGATTTATTGAATATTATGTACAAAGGAAGAACGAGTGAATCTGCACATCGGGAAATGAAATAAGGAGGAATGTCATCAGGACCAGGGCCCTTCGTGCAATCAAGTCTTTTTAACCGAGTGCGGATGGACTCCATTGTTAGATGTAATTTTGAGATACTGCAAGATTCTGAGTTGCTATTAGTTAGAGACTCCCTTGGGACATCATCACTTACTTTACTTTCGTTGGAATAAACGGAACTGAAGCTTTTTGCAAAAAGATTACAGATATCAGGCCCAGCAGATGCTGTTTGATCGTTATGAATCATTTCAGTGGGATAGTGAGGACCTTGCTTTTGTCTTTCATATAAGTCCAAAAATATTTTTGGTTGCTGCTGATGTTTAGTTCAATATTATGAATATATTTCTTATAACATCGAGTAGTCAATGCAGCACATCGTTTTCCCATTATTAACAGAGAAATGTGGTCAAGAGGATTTTTGTGGATTTTGTATTTGTTTACTAATCTACATTTATCTTTCAAACGTTTGATAAGGGTTTTAGGGAACCAATGAGGGTATTTATTGTTGCTTTTTTTTGCACCGTGGAACATATTTATTTATAATAGTATAAAGATGTCTATAAAAAACATCAAGCATTTTATCGACATTATTACAAGAGTTTAGCTCGCCGAGCCAATTTATATTATCTAATTCGTTTGTGATTGCTGCATAATCAGCCTTATAGTAATTATGTTTTAAAGTATCGTTACTATGAAGATTATTATTCTGGTTTGAAAAACATACATCAACTGAAATTGGAGGGTGATAGGGATCAACCTGAGTTAGTTACGCTGATTCCGTCGTAATTACAAAAAACCAAGTCGAGCATTTTACCTTTGGAATTAGTTACACTATTGAACTGAGTGAAGTTATTAAGAGATGCAAAGTCTATCAGAGTTTGAGCAAGACTTGAGCCATTATGTTTTGGAACTGAGTCTGTCGATACACAAGGCCAGCTAATACAACTCAGGTTAAAATCACCAATAAGCATTATATTATTTATAGGATTACTATCTACAATTTCATTAAAATTATTAATGAAAGATTCGAGACTATTTCTATTGACTGGAGGTGGCAGGTAAACTGTGCAAAAGTAGTAAATCTTATTATCTAGTTTTAAACTGACCCACAGGTCTTCATTATTACTTTCAAACAATTGTAGACGATTGCTGTCGTATTTTTTGGAAATTGCTACAAGAACTCCACCGCCATTCATAATATTACCTGATCTATTAAGAGAATACCTATCACGTCTGTATACAACATAACGGTTATCAAATAGTTCTGAGTCGTTTACAGAGTCGATCAACCAAGTCTCTGTTAATATTATTATGTCATAATTAAAACACAGTAAATTACAATAAAAAACATGAGTTTTCATGCGTAAACCTCTTACATTTTGGTAATACATGTTTAAACTTGTGAATTTTATAACAATATTTACCAATTCTCAATACGAAATTAAAAAGACTAACACAACTAAAATATATAAAAAATAACAATTATACAATTTTTTCCAGCAATTCCATTGTTTTAATATAAATATATTCGGAGTCCTCATCTTTACGCATGAAAATTTTACCCTGTTTCACCCATACAAATCTATATCCCTTTTTCTTGGCCTTCAGACGCGCTGCAGCGTGTAGGGCTCGATTTGCAGGGGAGAGGTGTTCTGCAACATAGATTGGTTGGTTCACTCCACCGAACCCAAGATGGCTTGAATTTAACTTTTCGCTTGCGTGGTTTTTATTATAGGTAATAACAGCTGCAAGAAACTTGTCACGAATTCGTGGTGTAGCCAATTTAAGTATAATAGATCTAGGCCTTTGGTCATTTTTGTTACTCTTGGCTATACGTGTATATTGATGTACATCGCTTTCATTTAAATCGCAAGAAATAGTTTGTGCTAATTGTTTTATAAGGGTGTGTATGTTTTCGTTCTTGTACTCGGGGACGCATTGTATTTCTAGATTACAAGATCTGTTATGTTGTTCCATTATTTCCAACCTAGTACCGATGCATCTGACAGTCTCGATCAACTTGTTATTTTCGGTGCGTAAATATTGTATTGTTTCGGTTTTGCAAGCAAGGTCCTTTTTTATGCTGTCGTATTCTTCTGTTATAAATAAGACAGATTTTTCCAAGCAATCGATGCTCTCAGAAAACCCCTTTAACTCATGCTTCACCATGGCTCGCAAACTTTCTTCCAATTCAACTATCATAGACTTTTTAACTTTATTTAGTTCTTCTCTTATCACATCCCTTATGACATCAATTGTTAACGTGGAATTAGTCTGCGAACAGATTTCGGGCCGGTTCGGTTTATTACGAAATGTCACATTTTCAGACGCTTTCGCAGGTGTTCGTGAGTTATCACCTCCTACCTTGGCCGCCGCTTGACAATAGGGGCATGTCCAGTTCTTTTTTTGATGAGTAGTAAGCTCAGAAGTTCCAGTACACAACAGATGAAATATCTTTTTACAGGCTTTTGCTGAGCAAGTTATCGATTCTGCTTTCGAAATAGGGGTACAACAGCCAGGGCAAGACATTATTTTTCTTATACTTCTATTCTTTGACATCAAAAAGCAAAGCAGTGTGTTTAAATGTACACCCACAATGTATGAAATTCAATAACAGACCACAGGTGCATGCAGAAATAAAGCGTATCACTGATAATAAGTTGAGTGGAAGTCGTTCACCTCAAGCGCAAGGAGATGGCGCGTGCAACGCAACCAAGCGTCTGTTTTAACTGATCGTTGACACTTTTCACTCTATTGTATTTTAATAACCACTGAATGTATCACAAAACTGATTATCACTACACACTGTGATTGGATTACACAGATTATTTATTTATAATTCCAGCTTGAAATGTTACTTTAAATGAGAAAGCAGAAAATTCAACTCCAAATTAGAAAGACTCTCGAGGAAAAGGAGTATTGCTCAGCAGTGTTCTTGGATGTTCAGCAGGCATTCGATAGGGTCTGGCATAAGGGACTGCTATGCAAACTAAAATGTAGCCTACCACATAGTTATCACCAAATCTTCGAATCTTATATTAATGAACGCATATTCCAAGTTAAAGAATCAGGAGAAACATCAAATTTTTATGAAATATGTGCTGGAGTACCACAGGGTTCAGTCCTCGGACCGGTATTTTACACTGTCTATACAGCCGACTTACCTGTAATGCAAAATGTAACAACTGCAACATTTGCGGATGACACTGCCATACTTGCAAGTCATAAAAACCCTATTATTGCAACACAACTTTTACAGCAGAGATTGGATGAGATTACAAAATGGTTGCAAAAATGGAGAATAAGAGCCAGTTCGTCAAAATCAGTTCACGTCACATTCACACTGAAACAAGGCAATTGTCCTCCAGTACAGTTAGAAAATGTCACTCTTCCTCATCAAAACTGTATACGCTACTTAGAGCTTCACATAGATAGGCGTCTTACATGGAAAGAACACATTAAGAAAAAAAGAGAGGAACTTAACATCCGGCACAAGCGACTTTTGTGGCTATTGGGCCGCAACAGCAAATTGTCAATAGATAACAAGTTACTGATATATAAAACTATCCTTAGACCACAGTGGACCTATGGCATACAACTCTGGGGTACTGCTAGCAATTCCAACATCCTTTGCATTCAAAGAGCCCAAAACATGATCCTTCGAACTATTAGCGATGCGCCATGGTATATCACTAATAATGAAATTCATGAACACCTGGAAATGTCAACAGTCAAGGAAGAAATAACCATTGCGACTCAGAAATACCGGGCTAGGCTGGAGACTCACCCAAACATCCTAGCAACACAACTCATGACTCGGAGTTATAACAAACGACTCAAAAGGAAAGACGTCCTCTAAAGAGAATTAAGGAGGAGATGTCCTTACTGAAGGGCACACTCTGACACCCCAATGTTCATCCAACACATTTGCTTATAGTAGCATGCACTGATCGCAAATTACAATTAATAATAAAAAGAAAAAAAAAATTCTTTGATTTATATTTGTTCATTGTTACAAAACAAATTAATGATTGCATCTAGTTAAAATGTTAAAGCTAGGTATTATGCATATTTTCTCGGCACATGAGCTTAGTGTTTATGTTCTAGATTAGGTCAGATCATTACGTTAATTAAAAGATATAATTAATCTAATCTTTGAAGCTTATTTGCGATGTAATTTAGTAACTCAATCTATTTTCATTAAATATTGGAGTATTACCTTCAAACCAAAGTAACTTAGGACGAAGATTTTAAATTTAGGAATTTTAATAAAATCTCGACTTGTAGGATCTAAAAAAATGCATAATCTATTATTATGTAGGTCCTTATTTTTAAACTTTTTTAAGCTTAATAATACTCTATGGAAAATACAGAAATTCTTTTATTGACAAACAAAGCAGAAAATCTATTTTTTAGGCACTATAATTTTATGGTTTCTATGAATCACGCAAGCTAATAATTAATCATTCAGTCACTTCGAAAGTAACACATTATGAATTATAACGTCCCGGTTTTGGCATGCAACCAATTAATGTGTTTATTTAAAATTAGATACTAATCGTTAATTGGATTTTAGATAATTACATTTTTAATTCGAAATAGGTACTTTTATATAAATTTTATATCTTATTAAGACTAGTCAGAGTTAAGTGATTGAAATATTGATCTGCACCTGATAATTCGTATTTTCAGCGAATAGTAATAAATTGTACGACTTCTTTTATTCACAAATCTGACTTATGATGAACATGAGCACTGTAATAAAAATATATTCTGTATAACAAATCAAACTAAGACCATGGTTTGATTACCCGAAACATTAAACAAAGAGAATTCGTGAGAGAACATTCCTAGTAAGTATTCCATTTTCTTTTCGTTTCAACGAAAAGAAAGGCTATTATTGTTTCTTAATATTTACCTGTTAGCTCTCAGAATGTAGGATGATTCCAGGGCGAAATCCCTTCTGGGTATTTATTGAACATGGATTTGTACGATGATTTCTACTTAAGCCTATTATTATATCCCTGTGAGACGTGGAGTCCCGAGCCTACGTGAGCATTTTGCTAAAATTTGCTTGCCCGTACATGATGCAACTAATGTACCCCGCATGTATGAAACCTCAATCTAAAATACGATTTTAGAATATTTATACGCCACTTTTTTTCTATATCAACCTAAAAATTGTTTTCTTTATACTGGTACTTTTCAAAGATTTTGTTCTAAAATTAACTAAAATTATTCTGGTTTAGGTATTTATACTAAAAGCATAAATAGGAGACAGCGCTATTAATTAATTTTAAATTAAGACAAAACTTTTCTTCCTCCATTAGCTAATGAACGTGTTGGAGGATGTCACAGTACTTTAATATGACGTTATATGGGTAATGAAAATAATGTTTGTTGTCAAAAATTGACAAAAACACTTATTTCGAATATTAAGCACTTTGCACATCAGTCGCAACCTTGGTCGCAGAAAACAAGGTTGGGATGCGGCCAAGTTTGCGGCCACGACCACGACTGTCCGTAAAGAGGTCACAGTTCTGGTCTTTCCTTTATTTCTTTAATAAATAACACTGTATTAAAACTCATTCCAAAAAGACATCGTCGTCTTGAGTTGCGAAACGATACAAAGCGTGTTCAGTGTTCATTCACGAACTGTCCGCATGACACTGAGAATAGCTGTCACGGCCTGGCCGCTATCCCGGTCGCAGATTTTGTACGAGAGCGCTCATAGTATAGGGAAATTGGATAATCGAGGATGTGTAAGGATCATAGGAATTGATTGTAAGGAATGAATCTCTCACCATTTTGGAGTGCACAGTCCGCCCTTCAGCTACTTGGATCCTAGGGTAGTTGGTAGAGTGCGATGCCTGTTGCAAACCCAAGTATTACGAGGATGCATTGCGTGGACGTAGGCACGTGACACTTGACGGAAGATAGACGCATCTACATAGAATTTCATCGGTCGCCCTGCATCCGTTTGTCGGTTGGTTAGGGTTAATAAAAAATAAATAAAATGAAAAATTAGAATCTAGCAGACTTGTTTTGCTATATACAGAAGTATAAAGAACTCCGATGTGACTTTGATCCATTTGTAGAGACATAATATTGTCAAGTCATAAACATACCGTTGATAGATCGATCGATCGTACTAGCGTACAGACGTGCTCATCGCGCTTATAAAATAAATTAACAGTTAAATAATAGTGACCTAGTTTAAATAGTGACTAAGCGTATTATGCGGTTACGCTCAGTGAGTGACAATTATACGTGCATGAATTATAATAATGGGCATAAATATTTAGTGTAAGTTCTTTTTCATTAATTATGTCAAGTGAGAGCCCCTTCAATCGAAGCGGCATTACTCGCCGCACTCCTCCCCCAACGACGCCCAGCCATCCAACTCAAGACCAGGATGATATGGATACCTTAAAAATAGTATCTACTCCGGAAATACAAAACTGGCTTACTTCAATTGAGCAATATTTACAAGAAGTATGTACCATGTCGAATGAGGGAAAACTAGTATCTGACCACAAACTTAGGATTAATAATCTCTGCCGAAAAGTTGGACATGGAGTTGCGCAAATGGCTGTTCAATATCAGTCTTTAAAGCAAAAGGCGATATCAACTCACTCTAATTTGCAAATTTTAAAGGACAACCATGACCTCTCAGCTTGTCTTACTGATTTTAAAAAGACTATACAGGAATCCTGCACTAAATCTGCTACAACAAACACGTCTTTTGCAGACATGGTAAAAAAGGGATCCAACAACTTTATTCGCCCTAGCCCTGTCAGTTCTGTGGTAATCTACCCAAGCAATGCTGCACAAAGTAGTGACGAAACAAAAAATTGGGTCCAAAAAATTATTAGCCCCGAGGAGATGAAACTGAAAGTACGTGGTCTTCGTAAAGTAAGAAATGGAGGAGTGATCGTCAGCACTGAGACCAAAGACGACATTCATAAATTGAAAAATTCAGTGCTGTTAGCAAACTCAGGCCTGACTGTTGATGACACCAATAAACGCAAACCGCGTATTATAATCATAGGAGTACCTTCATCTATGACTGAAAGTGACGTCTATAAGTGCATCTACGAGCAAAACGTAGCAGAATCGTCATTAAATATATCTAGAGATACTTTCCTGAACTCTATAAAACTGAGCCACAAATCAGGAATACGAGATGCAGACACTTGCAACTATATTTTAGAAGTACCTGCTACTATACGCAAAGCCTTAATTATACAGGACAGACTTTTATTAACTGGAATTTTTACTCGGTACGTGATTTCACACTTGTAACTAGATGCTACAATTGCCAGCAATATGGCCATGCCGCTAAAACTTGCAAGGCGACAGCTTGTACCTGTGGCCACTCTGGCGAAGATGGCCATTCTCTCAAAGACTGCACAAAAAAAGCCGATCCACCAAAATGTGCCACTTGCCTTAAATTTAAAAAACCGTGCGGCCATAGGACCGGAAATGCCGAATGTCCAGCTAAAAAAGCTGCCGAAACTAGGTACATTAATACTATTGATTATGAAGGCGCCTAGAGCGCCACTTATTTGTTATAATTAGAACTTTACTATGGACATTAATATAATAAATGAAATAGATGATCTATCTATGTCTAATTCATGTTTATGTGAAGTCGGAGAGTGTAGACAATATCTGACTGCTTATCAAAACTCATTAACTGTACTCACCCAAAATATACGTAGTATTTATAAAAATATTGATAATTTTGATATTTTCCTCCATAGGCTTAACTTTGTTTGTGATGTAATTATACTAACCGAGTGCTGGTTAACAAAACGGA